CCTAAACTACACTGTCATAGTTTACTTCCGAGTGGCTCCACCACTCGTAAAGAGTGAAAATGAAGGGAGTTTTGGCTCTTGGCTCTAAATTAGACCTGTTCATTTGGCCATTTTTTATACATACATGTAAAATAATGTTTTTTAAAATAATATTTTGCGTTTTTTTAAAAAAAGAACGAACAGTTGAATAGCCTTTGAAGAAATTTCATTCATATATGAAACAAAAGTGCTCAATGACAGAAAATAGTTAGCCTAGTTTGCAGTAAACATGTAGATGCGTCAACAAATTCATGCTGAGAGTTTTTTATTTTATTAGTCTGTACGGGGTATTTTGAGTGGCATATACGATAAAATAAATGACTTTCAAAAGGGTGCCGCACATAAGTCGATCGGTACTAACTGAAGATATACAGCTTAGGATCGAAGGACCTTGTTGTGCCAAGTGTTTTCAGCACGCCAATCTCTGGGTTATCTTGGTATTCTTGGATGAAGATTCAGAGGATTAACTTGAGCAATTCAGAGAATTAATTCACGTTAATTTTATTATCGGCACAGAAACATTCAATTTCAGGTTCGTATGCCCAATGAAAGAATGTGATGAATCGCGCATATTTTATAGGCCTAATATTTGCTGTTCATTTTGTCACAAGAAAAAACTGTCATGCATAAGAAAGGATGAGAATGGCACGGAAATTTTGGCTCAGGTGCGAATTTGCTACCAAGGAATTCGGTACAAAATAAAACTGCTAAGTCAATAAATTCTTCAAAAGGCGAGAGAACATCAGGATCGCCAACAAACTGTCCACCAAGCGATGCAGCACTGGTCAAAGCATTTGCAGAACTTATCTGATGAAGAACCAAACCGTGAATTACAGCTGTTACAAGTATCTAGCTAAGTTGCATGAAAATGCCGACACAAAAAATCATGTATTTTCTGGAAATCTTGGGCGCAGTCACGCAAGGTTTTCCTAGCGTGGGCCACGCGTCTTAACCATTATACACGTTCATCATTCCAAAAATCGCCCAATTGGCTATTTTTTTACCCGGTGAATAGGGTGTCCAAAGGTTGAACCGTGAACCGGGAGATGCAATGGCTCCTTACGCAATTTTTAACAAGAAGCAATAAATCATTATGTGACAAGCAGTGGCAAATATATTTCATGCATATTGTTGGATGCTGTAAAATATATTTCATTAAATCGCCGCATTTAGTAACAAATTTCAGC